TCGGCGGGGCTGGGATCCGTCTCCCTGCACCCCCTCCGCCCAGGCCTGCGCTGAGCCGGGCAGGGCCCAGGCCCGGTGAGGGCTGCGGGGCACTTGTGGAGGGGTTATGGCCTGTGCTGGGCCTTGGCTAGGGAGGAGGAAGCCGTAGGCCGCCGTCACTCCCTAGTCTCCTTTCTGGGACAGGCCGAGATCCCCCCCTGGGTCGTCTTGGAGAAGGAAGGTGCTTGGACGTACAGAAGCAGGATGGGGTGGTTTTAAAGGTGCTTGGGGATGCGCAGGAGCTAGTCATCTTGGGATGTGGCCGAAGAGTTTCAAATGTGTTTCGGGCTCTTGTCAGGGAGATGGGAGTAAAGCATTTGTGGTGCTGAAAGGTTGCTACGTAAAATCTGCAACTGGTTCCACCCCAGGGTTGAGTTTGTCTTAAATAAGTTTCTGAAGGTGGGAGTTGTGTGGCTTGTAAAGAGCTGGGGATGATGGGAGGGAAGGTGATGGGAAAAGTGTGAGAGAGGTTGGGTCTGTGTTTGATGGGTGCACCGGATGCTTTTCAGTGTTGCTCAGATGGCTCCTGCAAAGAAAGGTGGCGAGAAGAAGAAGGGACGCTCTGCCATCAATGAGGTGGTAACTAGGGAATATACCATCAACATTCACAAGCGGATCCATGGCATGTAAGTTCTTGGTTTTTATCAGTGAAATTTGCCTTATGTAAAGTGGCGTTTGGAAACGGGTTTGTTAGGTTTTAAACTGCAGAGAACTACAATCCTTACCAGCACCGATGCTAATGTGTGATGTTTAGTCCCTTGTGTTACAGTTGTGTCCTGAGGAAGCAGCTCTGTACCTGGGCAGACCTGTACTTGTAGGTGGCTTTCAGGAACAATCTTGTTGTATTTTTTTTGTGAGTGTTCCTGGACATAATTTGAAGTTAGAGCTGTTTGCCTCTGTGCACAGGTTGTCATTCTTTCCCAAGTAAAGTTCTAAATTTAGCCCACTGTAGTAAGTTTTAGAAATTAAATATTGTTCTAATGAAGCGATTGGCTCTGTGCTTATCGCAAAATTGTCTGAGTTGTAAATTCTGATATGATTTGAGTTAAATGGTATTAGTTGTTTGTAGATGAGAGTAACTTTTTACCTGACAAAATGTTGAACCTCATACAACCTTGTAGTAGTAAAGCACTTGAGAGAACTTTTAGAGAAACTGCAGCTTGCTGTCATTCTCTCTGTATGTGTATGGCTGCAGTCACGTGGAGGAAGACTATATCTGAATCAAAGCAATTGGTGAAATTGGTGAAGTTAACCTAGAATAGGAGAGAAATGAGACAGTGGACTATTATAAAACTATGGGTGAAGATGGGAGGCAGTGGTACCTTTAAATGGCAGTAAGATGTTCTGGCCTTGCCTGTTGATTGTTTATGGGAATTCAGTCTGTACTTAATGATGACGATCCTGCTATCCTCTCTTGGGGTTATCCTCTTTTCTCTTGAGGCATGAAGTACTAGGGGGAAATACTTATTGTTTAATGCTTGTCTCACTTGTAATTACCCACTCCCTATTTCTAACACAAAATATCAACACTAGTGTACCAATAATACTACATTTAACCCACTGTGGGATCTTAGACCCTACTGACACCGTAGTGTGTTACAGTGTGGCTATAATATCTACAGCAAAGCACTCGAACCTGTAACTTCCAGTGTAAATGCCCAGTCATGCAGAGCCTGTCCATAATAGGCATGAGACAAGCTGTATTTGTAAAAAACAAAAACAGTTCTGATGATGGTCCAGTCATGATGACATGGAGAAAGTAACCATCAGACACCATTTAGCAGAAGCTGTTACTCAAAATAGCGTAAGTTTTGTTCTGCTGTTTATTTCAGTACTGAACAGTTCTGTCAAGTTTGTGTTATCATTGTTGCATTGCTTTTTTCATAGGCCTTTTGTTTAGAGTATCTGTGAAGGGCTGATCTCTTCAGTAATATTGTAAGAAGTTTTCATGTCAACATGCTATAAATAAGACATAAGACCTAGGAGATCTTGCAGTTGCAAAATTTTACTGAAATCCTTTGACATATCTTTATGTGGTTTCTATTGGGCATAGACATTAATGTTAGCAGCTACCTACCAGAGTAAAGGTCTGGTCATGCTATGAGGCAGCTATTGAACTGCTGTTGAACACAATTTTGATGGAATGTTTAAAGGATGTCTGGTTGAGTGCGGCAACAAGTCCAATGTTGGCAGTCTCCTGAAAGAAATTGCTCTTGTGTTTGTTTAGTGGCTTCAAGAAACGAGCACCACGTGCTCTCAAGGAAATCCGTAAATTTGCAATGAAGGAGATGGGTACTCCTGATGTTCGCATTGACACCAGATTGAACAAAGCAGTCTGGGCTAAAGGAATAAGGTAGGTTTCTGCAACTTTCCTTATTGGGTGAGGAAGAACCTTTTAAATGTGTATGTGGAGGCGCAGGACTTGGAGGGGTAGAAACATTTGTGGCCTTATTGCAGTATGTACATTTGCTTTGCAAGTGCTTCCTTAGAGTGTGCATGCCAAGCACATCTTTCTGTCACTTCTACATTCTGGTCAGCTCTCTCATGCGTGGTACTTGTAGCACAGCTTCCCTAAACTCTAGAATTGAAAGAACTTTGTTCTACCTCTAATGAGACTACAGCAAATGAAAAAAGGAATGCAGGGCAGGAGGAGGATTGGGGTGTTGTCGTTCAGTAGTACCCCAATCCCTATTACAGCAGACAGTTTTTAGAAACATGGCTTTTTTAGTGCTACCAGCAATCCCAGGCTAGGTACCTGGGATTATGTAATGTGTCTGGACAGGATTAGGTTTTGAAGCATGCTAATTGATAAATGCTACACAAGAAAATAATGAGGTATGTTTGGAATAGGGCCATTAACCTTGTCTTGAAAGTACAAGTAGTTTGGGTTCCAAAAAATGACAGCTTCTGTGAAATCACTGCTACAGAGGCAGCTGATTTGGCATTTGACATGTGTGAGGATGGTCCAAACAGTGGGAGGAGTGGGACCTCTTAAAACATAATAAAAGGTTAACTGGTAGAGATTAATAGTGTGAGTGATACACATGAACCCTTGTTTTAAAGCATGTCTTCTACGAATTAGATTCCTGAGTCTGGCCTGTGACATGTTTACAACCCTTTTCCTGGAGTTGGGTGTTCAGGCCAACACTTCCTTCAAAAACAGAGTGGGAAGATGGAACTAAGTTACTGGATGTTCTAGACAGGGGTTCTCTGTCCTTCCTGTTGAGCTGTTCCAGTTCATATGCCATGAAGAAGTAGTAGTTGAGCCACGTGACAGCATAACTTGCTTAATAGTGAGGCTTCTAATCAGGACTTCCTTGTATTAACTTGTAGAAATACCTTCTGTGGGCAGGGAGTCGTTGCATCCATCTTTTCCAGCATGAGTTTAACTGCAGTTTTCAGTAGTTAGAATAGATACCGTATGCAAAGTAAAGTATCTTCCTTTGGAAGGATCAGGAGAAGCTCAGATCACCGTGTCAGCTAGATTGATAGACAGTCATCTAAGTAGAGTAGTGAAAAAATGCTTTTTTCTTGTTTCAAGAATGGAGTAAATCAAAGCAAGTTCCTGTCTTAATTACTGCATCCATCTGATGTAGTAAGTGTGCTCTGAGAATGTACAGCAAGGAGGAAGTTCCGTCTTGTATTGTATGGAGCAAAGTACTCTGAGCAGGAGTTAACCACAATCCTGAGTTGAGTTGGGAAGTTACTTTAAAAATGGTGTGGACAAATAATTTTGTGCCTTGTCTCAGCAGCATGTTGTGGGCAGTATTAGGGGAGGATGCTAAACTGTGACACACAAATTCATCCAAGGAGTTCAGTTATGGTTCAGTGGGTTTTGTGAAGAAGAAATGCTGATCAATTGTATGCCCATAAACAAGGTCTTGGTTCATGTCTAGTGCTCACTAGAATTTTCACATGACTTCTGTCAAACAAATTGGGCAGTACTGTGACTCTTGATAGGGGCCTCAGGCTTTCAGAACAGATTGTTGGGGTTTTTTTCCTCACCATTTTCTATTCAAGTCAGAAAAACTTGTTAGTAACACCTGCTTGCTGATCATATTCATGCTGTGCTTCATGATCATTTTCATAGTATATGAAATATGCTCCCAGTAGATTATGGATTCTTTTTACTCAAGGCTTAGTTAAATCTTAACCTGCTCACTTGGAACAAAAAAACCCAAAAAGCTCCTATAAGGCAAACAGTACAATCTGTAAGGTACAGGATTTTGCTCTTGTTAAGATGCTGAGATAGAAGTACAGTTGACTTGTGTCATTGCACAAATAGGCAAAGGTTAAGAATCTGGGGAGGAGGTAGTAAGCACGGAGCAGAGTTTTCTATGAATTAATGTTTCAGTACATGCTTTATTGAAAATTCATTTGTCATCTTCATTTTAGGAATGTTCCTTACCGTATCCGCGTGCGTTTGTCCAGAAAGCGCAATGAGGATGAAGATTCACCAAACAAGCTATACACACTGGTTACCTATGTACCAGTCACAACATTCAAAGGTAAGGTTGCATGCTGTGTCTCTTCCTCCATGCCATGTTTTTCTGAACAAGTAGCAAAGTGGGACAGCTCCTCCTGCAATGCATAATTCAGCTGAAAAGCATGGTGAAGGGGTCAAACTGCTGGCTTAAGGTAGCTCTGCTGTAGAGAACAGGGCTGCTAGCTTGCCTGATCAGCATTAAAAAGCAAAAATACAGAATTTAGTGAAATAATCCAGTGAATTTTGAGAAAATGAGAAACACTGGCCATACCTGTTAGGGTAGTTTAAGGTTTGCATTTTTCTTATATGAAGTACATCCTCTGATGTCAAAAGCTCAAGCAGGTTGAGCCTTTTCTGCTTGTCATCTGAGAAGTATCTTATTTGCAGAAGTGATTTAACATGAATTTTTTATTTTAATATTTGGTGAAATACTTGCCTATATAGTTTGCTCTTCCAAAAGTAGATCAGCAAACTAGCTTGGAAACTGCACTTTCTTCTGGATATACATATATTGCCTATACATAAAGAGAATTGTCCTGGTAATAGGTGGTGATGCAATTTCTTGTTTTGCAGGTCTACAGACAGTCAATGTGGATGAAAATTAAACTGATTTTCATTACAATAAAAAGATAAAAAGAAAGTTTACTTCTAAGCTGGGTTTTTTTATTGTCCCGTGTCTTCAAGCTCTCATCTGTGAAGTGCTGAACAGGTGACAAATTTAAAGTGGCTTGCTTTCTTTGGGTTTGTACATAATGGTGGAATGTTCTCAATTAAAGATAACTGTAGACTTCCACTACATGTGAACAGAATAACGGAGAGGGGCGAATGTTCCTATGTGGGTGGCAAAGCCCTAGAGGTTTTGTTTTGTTCCTGTGGGAATAAGAGCCACTACCCAGGTATTTTAAGTTAAGGCCAAGTTTGTTTAAAAAACAACAACCACCAAAAAAAACCCAGCCCCCAAAACTGTTAGATCAATACTTAATATATGTAATCTCTTGTGGAGAAAGTGAGCTCCCTGTATTTGGTCCCATGCTGGTCTCCTAGGCAGAACCGGTCAGCTTCTCCCAATCTGGTCTGTGCGCTACTCTGAAATGGGGGATTCTGACCAATTAATTTTGAGCATGCTTGCTCAAGGAATTTGTTTAATGAAGTAGGGACTAAAGGCCCTTAACCTTTCATAAATCAATAAATACCGTCAATGCAAGTCTAGTACAAAAAGGGTTTATTGAAAAGTCCATGTTTTCACAGACCACTTCAGAAGCACAGTCCATGTACACTTAACATTTCAGCAAGACATACAAACTGGAATACAGTCAAATATATTAAAATAGTTTCAATTACCAGCATTGAAACAGTTTTCAGTATTAGTGCAAAAAAAGGCAACCCAAACAAACTGCGGACAGTAGCTGAGAAGTGTTTTCCCCTGTTTAAAAAAAAACTTTAAAAAAATGGACAACTGGAGACAGCCTCTGCTCTCCCAGTGCGGAAGACGGCTTCAGTGTCTTCACGCTGTAGACAGATGTTTCCTTTTACATTCAAAGCAAGAACATAATAAATCAATGTCACAAAACAAACCTACACACCCTTTAGCTTTTAAAGCTCTTAAACTGAAAACCACAGACCAACAAATTGTTTATCAGAAGTCCACTGCTGAAAGCCTTTTACAGTATGTGCTTTGGCATAATTTCAGTGCATTTAATTTTTGACATGTTTGCTGCTACTGCGTGTTTAGTTTTGTATGTTCACCCCGTGACTGGCAGCTCATTCCATTTGTTTTGAGACTATATTGATATAGCTTTGCGTTCTCAAGTTTTGGCTTCAGTTCTAAGGGTTTTTCAAAGAAGTTAACTAATGACTGTTCAGTCAAGAGGGATGCTAAAATATGTTCAAAAGAGACAGTCCAGTCCCCTTCAGTCACAGGTGAAGGCTGAGAGTCTTTGTGAGGTGTCTTCACAGTGTCAGTAAAAACAGCATCCTGGTCTGAAGCAGAGGCCTCGGGCTGTAAGTCCTCAGTGAACTCATCTGATCCACTCCCCAGGCTGATGCTTCTTTGTCCTACTTCTCCAATCTGAAGTAAAAGTGTGGTCACAGTGGCAATGGCTTGATACAAATCATTCTCCTCCGGATCTTCATGAAACATGCTGTACAAGGTTTTGCAGAACTGAATGAACTCCCTCTGTAAGGGACGAAAAACCAAAATCAAACTACTGAACAGCCACATCATGGGTAACTAGGAGTCAGGTGAGGGCACAGTACTGCAAAGGCAGGCAGAATGCTGTGTATGTATGTTTATGTGCTCTTTTACAACTTCTGCCTCCTTTTAAAAAAATGGGGATTTCAAGCCCCACGGATGGTAGGAAACCTTGGTGCTGCAAATCAAAAAGGGAACAGAACAGAAAAGTTACTGCCTTGATGAAGGAGATCAGGACCTGCCAGATGATAAGTGAGAGAAAAGGGAAGGGATACAGTCCACGACTGGTGGGAAACTGGTGGCTGTTAACACAGGATGCGTTACAGCCAAAGTAGCCATCCACAGGCCTGCAAGCACCTTAACCTTCTGCTGTTTCTCTCCCATCTTTCCCCAGCTCTTTTTGTCTTCTGCTAATAAAATGCAGACATCTTCCCCACCTAACCCCTTTTCCTTAATCTCCTTCTTTCCCTTGCTCACCCATCACATGATTATCAGGCTAGAGAGGATGTTTCCATGTCCTATTATGAAATTTGTGAGCCCTTGAGTTTCATGCAGTCACAGGATGGCTAATTCATGGTGGAAGGGACTGCAGGAAGTTCAGTCAAGTGATGCCTTTGTGAGAGATTATGTGGCCCTGTTGAGCTGACAGGTTAGGTATGTGCCACCCATTTCAAACTTAATTTAGCAACACCATCACAGAAGGGATTCTGGGTATAGTCCCATCTTTCTTTGCATGTCTGTACATTTGTTTTACTAATACAGGACCCTTTTCCCTCCAGTAGGTTTCGTTATGCCAACAACATACACAAGGGTCTACTGGCATTAGGGAGGAGATAGTAAGATGATGAGAGCCTTCAGCTGTCTTACTTCAGGCAGTTCTAGTCAGCGTTAAGCTAAGACAGGGCAAGTCCCAGCTGATGATGGACTAAGAATGGAGTTACCAGTTTGGTGGTGAGGTTAGGGAAGGCAGAACAGCAATATGCATCCTTGGGAATTCTTTGGGCTTAGGAGGGCTTTTTGCAGCCTGCATGAGCCTGTTCTCTCTCCCATCTGTTATGCTGCAGGTGAGGGTAAGTCTGAAATTCATTTTATTCACCAGCCAGTCTGAGGAAAAGGAGCTGCTAGAAAGGTGGCTGAGAGTTTTTAAACATGATACCTGCTCCCTGGATGAGAGGAGCCCAATCCTCTATACTTAAAGCATTGTATCTAAACTCAGGCTGAAGTTACACTTTCTCAGAAAAAGCTGAACTGTTGTATTCAGTCATTTCATTTTCCAGTACTCTCCATTTCTTTAAAAACAGACTACAGCCTCCAACGTACATACCTGGCTCATTTTTGGCAATTCTTTTTCAGTTTTAGTATCCTTTTCTTTGGCTAGATCCTTCAGCATCTGCTTCAATTGCTTTTGGTAATCTACTGCATCACCTTTTTTGGAGCAGACAGAAAAATAATTAAGTTTTCAAGTCACTGGAGTAAACAGACATTTCAAAATAAATGCCAGAGAGGAGAGATAATAGAGTAGGGTTAACAAATGGAAAGTTGGTTATCTCATATCCATAAGCATTAGAGAACTATGTTGGACATACCATTTGATTTTCCAATGACTAGTGGTCTTGAAGTTGACAGCAAAGGATTCTTCAATGGTGACTGGCTGTCTCGTTCATTTTCTGTGAGAGCTATCAAAAAAAAAGCGACAAATGTAATGACTAATCTTTCGAATGCTGCATAATGGTTATTTATGCTTTTAAAACTTACATATTTGAAGAGAGCAAAATAATGGGGCAAAGATGTTTTTAAACAGTACTTCATTAAATCATGTAAAATTATGTTAATGTAAGTAATACTGGTGCTGCAGGGACAGAGTCGGAAGTTTGCCAAGGATGTCAGATTTAATTAAAAACTTTGCACAGAGAAACTACCGCAGAATGTTGTCACCTAATCAAAACTGGATCAAGATGCAATAAGGAGATCTCTGCTGTACATGGAGTACAGGCCATCCAAAAATGTAATTTCAGTTCAGATTTTGTCTAGAAGTAACCATACAATTGACTGCAAAAGATTTCTGAACTTAGCAGATGTGAGCCTTGACATTGTGTATCTATAAATTTCATCCAAGGTTTTGACTGGAGTAGTTTTTAAAATGCAGTGAGCGTAATTACAAATACACATTGTACATGGTCCCAGCTGAAGGAAGCAAGACGGGTACTTCAGTAAACTGCCTTTCCCCCAAGTTTTTGGGGAAACTGAGGTCTTAATTGTATTAATTCCCTTTCAGGTTTCTTACCTGGTGGGATATGCAGTTTATATAGTAACTTTATCTTTTCATTCATTTCTCCATTATACATAACATCTGCAAGGAAGGAAAAAAAAAGAACAAGAAGGAAGTGGACCAGAGCGTTTACTTCCACAGTTTAAAATAAATCGGGCATCTTTCTGTACACAAAAGATGATTGTTTGCATGGACAATACATGAAAACATATGGCCAGTGTATTACATCAAAATATTTTAAGTTTTGCCTGTCAGTGAGGAGCAGCAGGTGAGAGCCATCTGGTTTGGTCCTTGTTCTTGTAAAATAAACTGGGAGTACCTAACGCTATGGAGCTTCAAGCATTGTTTAAAAACAGCAGGGAGGATAGCAGGAAATCTAGCAAAGGGTGTTTGCTGCCACAGATTAACAGGAATGTGGGAGGTGAGAGACACAAAACTCCCTTTGGGGCCATTATATTGTTAGTATTTCTCCCCTTCAGCCCTTAGTGCTGTTCTATAGAATAAACCCAAAGGAGATACGTATGTACTTCACATGTACTATAATTCATATTTTCAATGACCAGTAGAAATGAGATTCTAAATTTTCAAATGTACTGAAATACTGTGAAGAACTTTTGGTTTTTTAATTTAAAGTTGTATCCCTCCAGGAATCTAAATCAAATAACAATACAGGGTGCCTCCGTTCACAGTAAAAAAAATCTAAAAAGCTTAAGTGTCACGAATGCGGATTTACTGACTTTTACTGAAGCTTTGAACATTTGATTCAGTTTTTTTTCACTTGGGGTCAGGCAACAGTTGAGATGTGGCATGCACATCTTCGGACAGATTTTGGGAAGGGCAGCCTCATCTCATTAGAACAGCTGGTGGCCTCAAGACCAACCCTAGCGCAGCTCTCACTCCCTGCTGGCCAGATTTCTTTTTTGTTCTGCTTACTGCCAGCACATAAGGCAAGCAGCACTTGGTTGTGTAAGATTAAGTGTTCAAGAACCAGTTACAAAGAGGTATACTGAGATTTCAAAGGTATACTGAGAGCTACAATCCATTTGGACAGGATTCCCTAGCATCCCATGCAGACCCAAGTGTAATTTCAATTCATAAAATACTTCAATAAAACTACTATTGTCTTAGAAAACAAATATTTTAATACAATATTCAATCATGTCCTTAGGCTGC